AACTAGAAATGCTTTCCATACAGCATCTCGTTTAAACTCATCAGCAACTCCAAAGGTGGGTACTATTCTTATTCTTACATTTCATATGGAAGATGACATGGTTTGTTCACCACTTTGCAGTATCAGTTTGGGAGTTTGGTCTAAGATCTCTAAATTTATAGTTCTAGAGATAATTACACAAACACATACCCCACCACCACTAGATCCCAGACATGTAACTCAATTCCTTATACAATAGATATCTGCTTCCTTATCCTATAAATACTTCAAACTCGATATCTGAATAAACTCATGGCTTTTTGACCAATCATTTATTGAGCTTTAACATTGGTCAGGTCCTAGTGTAGGTGCCAAATCAAATCTCCCAAACAACGTCACCAAAAGGAACAATCTCTAACTACATGCAATTTCCTGCCTCCTTACACAAATGAACACTGAAACAAACAGAATCCATTTGCAATAAGTAACATAAAGGAACATAGAATGAGTTAGGTAGAGAGACGGAGAGTATTACATGACAGGTAGAATAACTGTCCCACAGAGATGTCGTGCACTGATCCTGAGTCCTGTGAAACATCGGGGAAAAGGGGCTTTACAGATATGATTAAGGTTAAGGAACTTAACATGGGGAGATTATCTAAAATAATATGACCAAGTGCAATTTAATAGTATGGACCCTTAAATGTGAAAGGTAAGACATGGGTGACAATGAAAATGAAAAAAGAGACAGGAGACACTTAGAGTCTAAAAGAGACTCAACCATCATGCCTGTCTTTGAAAGTGAAGGGAGGAGTCACGAACCAAGGAATGTGGCACTGGAGATGGTAGCAGTGGTCCTTGGCTCATGTGAGGAAATGAGGTTGTCTGTCATCCAATAAACACAGGCCATTGAATTTTCTAACCACATGAATGAGCAGAAAAGTTTGTCCTGTTCTTCATGACTTTATTGCTGCAGCTTGCTGTTAAGCTAAGACCTGTGGTGGAATTCCAACCTACTGAGACATTTCTGTAGCTAAAAGCCACTCAGTTCTGACAACTTGTTCTAGTAGCAAAGCAAACTAACACAGGCCATAGTTAATTATTACAGGAAGGGAAAAATACTCGCTTGAAGCAGACACCTTGAAGAGTTAGCTGAGAGAAAAGTTTCCCAAGCAAAAAGAATGGCCTCAAAGTGAGGCCCCCAAACAGCAATGAGGCCACTGTGGCTGCAATAAGAAGAAAGAAGGATAGGGCTTGAGAGATAGTTCAGCAGTTAAGAGCACTGTCTGCTCTTGCAGAGGACCTGGGTTTGATTCCCAGCACCCATTTGACAGCTAACAACCATTCATGATACCAGTTCCAGAGGATGCAACACCCTTTTCTGGCCTCCACAGGCACTGCATCTTCAGGTTCACTTACATACATGCAGGCAAAACATTCATACACATGTAATAAAATTATTTTTTTTTTAAAAAAAAAAGGAGAGAGCAGAAGAGCTGAGAAAACAGGAGAACCCAAGCCGGCACATGTGAATGCTGTGGGCCGTGCAGCTTTGGCTCTTTTTCTCTAAGAGTAGTGGGAAGACACTTGGGCCAATGGTTGAATATCTCTGCTAAACTGAACATGCCCAAGTGTTGATCCCCTCAACCTTCTGCTACATTTTTTCCTATATCACTAGCAGACACCTTTGTGTGGTTAGTTGCTCAGCCTGGTATCTCTCTTTCCCACCCCAATTCCAAGATTAGTTTGGGGTGAGTTATATTTCAGATACTAGTTAATCCTCCAACTCAGGAATGTGAGTGTCAATTCAAGGATAGTTTGGATGGAGGCATGTCATAGGCAGAGTAATTACACTCCCCCAAATATTTACCTCCCAACTTCCTGAATCTGTGAATACATACCACATGACAAGGGGCAGGTGGTACAGAACAATACCTGACCTTGAAACAAAGAGGTATCTTAGAATATTTGTAGAATTCCAATGTAATCACAAGGATCCTTTAAAGGGGAAGAGGGAGGCAGAGGCAAGATGGCATTGTGAAAGAAACTTGAGGGCCAATCCTGGCCTTAAAGGTGGTTGAAGCTGGGTTTCAAACTGAAAGGAACCAAGCAACGGATGCAGCCTTTAGAAACTGGAAAAGACAAGAAATCAGATTTCCCTTGACAGTCCAGAAAAGATCACAGCCCTGCCGACATCTAGAGTTAGTTCAGAGATACCCATCTGAGCTTGAAAACTAATACAATAAATGTGTCATTCTAAGCCACTGAGTTTGAGGTAATGCTTTATAGCACCATTATAAAACAAACAGAAGGCATAATTTCTCTGAAACTTGTTTTTTCTTCGGTACTCCCCATCTGGGTAAATGGCATAAGCTTTACCTATTTATTCACGATGGAAAGATGTGTTTTCCTTCACTTCTTCTCTGCATGCTCCCAGCGCTTTGTCATCATCAAGTTCTCTAGATTCTAGTCACTATTTATCCAAGGTTATATACTATTCCATTTCTCTAATTGAAACCATCAGCATCAATGCTTTATTGGAGAAAAGTGGTGGATAGTGTACACCCACTACCCACTAACTATTTAACAGCAAGAAGTCTTCTGCACTGAATATTTTGAGTATTTATCCCTCTCTCCTGGAAACACTTGGATGGATTGATATTTCCTCAAAGCCCAAGCTTCTTCACATGGTCTTAGGTCATCCAAGGTTTACCTGTCTTCAACCATATTTCCCTATGCTTATCCTCACGTTAAATTTCTTTTAGGTCCTAGAAAGTATTGGGAAGCCTTTTTGCTTCGATTTTTGGCAGTGACTTCTGAGTCTCTAAAGCTACAGGCTCCTGTAATCAGCATTCCTTTTACATCTACCTCCAAGTCCCAACTTGCTCCTTTTGTACTAAGTCCATTAAAGAGATCACATCCTGATGTCAGGCTCTTGAACTTTTGCTTGAACAGACATCACAGTAAGTGTTGCTTCTCCATGAGAGCAGTTCCTTTGCCTAACTTTATCACTATCTCACCTCTGTTCTAGCACTTAGCATCTAGTAGGTACTCAGTAAATACTTGCCTACCAACGACTGATCACAGAAGAGCTGCAGATTAATTATGTGCTTAAAGTCACTAAGATGTCTCCTAAGCTATTTTCAGTAACTATTTCCTGGAAAGTCTGTGTTAATAAAGTGTCACATACTTCTTAAAATGCAATAATATTGACCCTGCTACCCATTTTTCCATTCTTGACCTTTTGGGCCTTGGAAATGTGCAGTAAACTATTGGTGAGAGGATGGGGTTTTGGGCAGGTTTTTTTTTTTTCAGCATTGGTAATGCTACTCAAAAATAATTTAATTGTTTATTGAGCACTCTTGATTTGGCTATCGTTAAAGGCCATGTACATAGGAAGCAAATGAAGTAGATAGACATAGTCCATTTCTGCTGAGACTGTACTTTGGCATGTTCATATGGTGAAGGAACATTAGGAAAAAAAAAAAAAAACAGAGATAGGGTACAGCAGCCATCCTTCATCTGAAATTTCACTTTTTGGGTTTCAGCAAGCCAGGGTCAAAACTTTAAAAGACCCTGGCAGGGTCACTGAGACGTAGTAAAGATGGCACACTTTCTACTTCTTCTTGGTCTCTGGCAGGAGGCCTTATTTTTAATTCCAACAGGGCCCCTTCAACTGATCTATCTGCACATGTAGACCAGGGCACCACATCACTTGGAGCCATAAGCCTATCAGCTCCCACTTCTTTAAGTTGATCAATCCAAAATTGGGAAACCACTAAAACTCTTAAAAACCCTCTTCCTCCCTGGAGAATGTTGGATTTCAGGTTCTGGTCCCCCTCTCCACTTGTGGAGAGCTTCATCCTACTGTATGAATGTGTGTATGTGATTATTTATCTTTCAATAAACATTTGCTTGACCGTTGCTCTATGCTAGTCTGTGGTTTTTCCTGTATTTTAATTCTTTAGTTCAGAAAAGTAAACCCCAAAATACCCCTCAACTGATAACGATGCCAACAGCAACATGTTAAATATTATTCTAGAAATAATTGTTTGCAATAACTTTGATGACAATGTACTGCTGTACTTATTTGTTATTAATCTCCAATTGTGTCTAGTTTATAAATTAAACTTGGTATGGACATTTATGTATAGGAAATACAAAGTAGTATATGGTGTTTGATACTCTGTAGTTGCAGGAATATACTGGGGTCCTCCTGTAAGTGGGTACTACTGTGGTTTCACAATAAGAAAAGAATGCTTGTGTGCGTGTATGGTTTACTTAGAGAGAGTAGGGAACAAAATCCTGGCAGTAAGTTCCTTTTTTTAAAGAAAGTTTTTATTTTTAATTTTGTGCATATGTGTGGGTTAATGCACCAGAGTGCAGGTGCGTGGAAGCCAAAGCCTAGGATGCCTAGGGCTGGAATAGGTGGTTGTGAACTGCTCGATATGGTTGCTCTAACAGCTCAGCCATTTCTCTAGCCCTGGAGTGGGTTTCTTGTTACAATGAAATACGCAAGAACAGGCATCTGGGGGGCGTGGTCAGACGTGCCTTTATAATCACAGCAGTCAGGAGATAGAGGCAGGTGGATCTCTGTGAGTTGAAGACCAGCCTGATCTAAAATGAGTTCCAGGCTGGCCAGTGATAAACAACCAGGAATCTGTCGTTCTGCCTTCGAACGTTGCAAGCTGCATACAGTTGACCAGGTTCTTCAGGCTCTAAACTTCCCTGCTAGCCTTCCAAGAACAATATTACGACAAACCTCCCTGGCTTGTGAAAATACCTGATCCTCAAGAACCCCAACGCAAGGAAGACATTTTTCTGGAATCCTAATTTAGGACCGACTACAAACAGGCGGGACTCTCAGAAAGCCCGCCCCTTCAAACGTCCCGCCCCCTTGCCGGATCTCTACTGATGATTGGTTACAGCACCCGTCCGTCTTGCCTCACCGAGGTGTGCAGCCCAATTGTGTACGACTTCACTTGGAGACAGGTTCCCAGGTCCTCTGAGTGGGCCGAGTTGGTGACGTGTGCATGATGTGCTGCGTCGCGGCGGACGGAAGTGGCGCCCGCTGTTTGAAATCCCGGCTGAGTGCTGGGCTACGGCCGGGTTCGCCCCCGACCCTTTTCGCTCCCCGCGCCGCCATGTCCACTCCTCCGCTGGCGCCGGGTCCCTTCGGCGGCCCGCAGGCCCAGCAGGCCGCCCGGGAGGTCAACACGGCCACGCTGTGCCGCATCGGGCAGGAGACTGTGCAGGACATCGTGTACCGCACCATGGAGATCTTCCAGCTGCTCAGGAACATGCAGGTGGGCGCCGGGGAGGGGGCGACAGGGCTAGCGACGGGGGTCCCCGGGCGACCTCAGGTGTGGGAGCCCCCGTTACCCTCAGAAGTGTCCCCCCGATGTATTTGCTCCCTGGCCTGGAAGACCTCGGGTGTGGGTGCCACCCTTACCCTCGGAACTCCCCCGCAGCGTGTCTGCCCCCTGTCCCTGGAGACCTCAGGTGCGGGTGCTCGGTTACCCCCAGAGATGTCCGTCAGCATGTGTCTGTGTCCTGCCTCAGACAACTTCTGTGGTGGTCGCTTTCATTGCCCTCCCTAAGTGACCCCAGGTATCTGCCTGTCCCTAAAAACCCAGCTAGGGCTTAGAGGTGGTATTGAAGCCACATTTTCTAGATTGGATGGAGTTCTGTCGTTGTTTTGTAAACTCTGTCTTTCAAGGTACAGACTGATCACACTCTGCATTTGAGATTACTTAAAAACTTTACAGCAAAAGTTCTGAAGGAGGAGGTGCCCAAGAAGTTGAATTCACGTTCTAACTAAATTAAAAGACCACAGTTGTCCCCTTTTCTGGGTATAATTAGGTTACAGTAAGCTGTGCTCATGTAAAGCTTTGACATATTTATAAATATATATACTTGTGACTTTATCACCTATAGTCACAATAGTGAACATAACCTGCCACCCAAAAGTTTCCTTAACACCCTTATGAAGTCTTTTTGTCTCCAGGCATGCAGCTAAGTGTTTACTGGTGTCCTTAGTTTGCATTTTCTAGAGTTTTAGATTAAAAAAAAAAAAAAAATTGCACAGTATGTGAGGTTTTTGGTCCGAGTTCTTTCAGCATACTATCAAGTCCTTTTTATTACTATATTATTGTATGAAAATACCACAATTTGGGGGCTGGAGAGATGGCTCAGTGGTTAAAAGCACTGGCTGCTCTTGGAGAAGATGTGGTTTGAATCCCAGGATCCACATGGCAGCTAACAACCTTCCATAACTCCAGTTCCACGGAATCCAACACCCTCTTCTGACTTGTGTGGGCATTGCATGACACAGGTGCACACTTACATACCTGCAGGCAATATACTCATTCCACCTTGAATCCATTATAAACAATGCTGCCTTAACAGTATAAATGTTAAAGTTTGCTTGCTTACAGACTTTTGTATGTTTCATTTCTCTTGGTATGTAGTTTAGGAATGTAATTACTGAATCATCATGTATATATTAAACATTTTAAGGATGTTTTCTAAAGTGGCTGAGTATATGCCCATCAACAGCCCTTGAGGGTTCTGGTTTCTCCTCATCTTCACCATCATTTGTTAGTGTGTGTCTTTTGCTTTGCAGATACTTTCCAGTCTGTGGCTTCTCTTCAAGACCTCCTTGAGGAACAGGCACTTTTAATTTTGATGGAGTCCTACTTGTTGATTTGTTCTTTCACAGATCTGGCCTTTACTGTCATACTTAAAAAATTAGGGACTTACATAAAAAGATAAATATTTTCTTCTCTGTTTTCTTCTAGAGGTTTTGCTCTTTGGGTTTTTACATTTAGATTTATAACTTAGAAGAAGTTGGAAGAGTTGTGCTGATCTGTATCTAAGTTCATATTTTGCATTTGGATATCCAGATTGCTTCAGCAGCTTGGCTAACTCATACTTAGTGCTTGCTTATCCTAACACATGAAATGCAGATACCATGCTTGTTTGACTGGTGAGGATTCTGTCAGAGAGGTGAACTAGTGGCCGACATCCAGTCAGTGGTGGCTCATTGAAACCAGGTCTTCAGCATATATTTCTGTGGATGTCCTACAGGGTGTTTTATTGCCTTTTTTTTTTTTTTTAAGAAAAAAATGATTGAGGGTTTTTTTTTTTAACTCCTATTTTTGTAAAAGTAATGCAGTTTGGTGGAAATCTTTTAGTACAGTCTCAGTAAGCCAATGTGGAAAGAGAAGACACAAAATAGTATTGTATAGATGGAATCTAAGAGACGCTTAAAGGTGAATGCATCATTTGCTGACCTGGGGCTCTCAACTTCCCTCTCTGTTCTCGCTTTCTTTCTGATTTTTGCTCTGTCTTCTTTGTTTCTTTCACCATCTTTCCCTCAAATTCCTTCTGGTTTTGTTGTGTGTGCATTTATTTTTAATCTGATAAGATGCCTAGATCCTTAAAACAGTGAATAGATTCATGACTAAAATGATTATGGTATTAATTAAATGTTATCTTGGAATTTAGTGCGTACTATATTTTTATCCTTCTGTGTGCAAACCGCTGAATTAGAGCAGGTGGAAGCAGATATAGTCACACAGATAGCCAAACATGTGTCAGTTACTTCTCTTGACCAACTGTGGGAACAATTTCAAGAAATATTTTTATTTTTATTCTTATTTTATAGTTAAGGAGACTGAAGATTAAAGAGAGAGTGAAAATTATCCAACATCACATATGATTAGTAGATCTAGCTAGTAACCTGTTATATCACAAAGTTGTTCTTAAACCAAGTATATTATTAAAAGAACCACAATTCAGTTCCATCACCTACACTGGAAGAACTCAGCTCTTTCCGAAAGGTTTTACCCATATCTAGGTTCCAGGTGGACCTATATTCAAAGATTTGTAGTGGGCCGTGACAGTAGTGTATGTGTGTGCCTTTCACCTCGTGAACTCTCAGGCTCTTCTCAAATGCTTTAGGGGGACATCACAGTGTGCCTAAAAGGCAACAACAGTGTGGTCCTTGATTTCCGCAATCAGAAGAGATGATACAAGCACACACTCCATTGTGTACAACCTTTGTGTACAACCTGGCGATTCACTTGCACCATGTGCTCCTTATCCTGTTCTCCATGGCCCGTCAGGTATATTTAAATGGATATTTTGAAAGACCACATTTACCTAACTGATTAATATTGTTAGGATTGTTCTAATCTCTCACTTTGTCATAGATCTGTCTATATAGGAGCAAGCAGCACATGGGGACTGGCTCTCCCCAATGTTAGGCATCCGCTGGGGACTTTGGGTCCTTCTGTGAGCAAGAGAGGCTTCTCTGTGTTCTTAAAGATGCTCACATTTGAAATCATCTGTATTCATCCACGAAGGTGAAGCAACAGAAAGATGTGCTGCTAAAGTCTCTCAGCATTTCTTTGAGAAAATGGTTATTTATTAGGTGTCTGGAGCTGCTTATGAGTCTGAAAACTATAGACTTTTTTGAAAAAATGAGTAAACACAGTTTGCAAAAACATTTTCCAAGGTGTTAAAGAATATCTCCCTAAGAGTCCCTAAATCCCAGATTAAGGTTCTTGGTAAAAAGTAGCGTTGCTTTGCTAATGCTTATTATCTTTTAAATTTTACTTCAGATTCCGACTTAATCTCTTCATAGTTTAGAAATAAAAGAAAGCACCGCAGTGAACATTCACCCTCCCTCCTATTCCTGTCTGCTCTACCTAATCCCTCTCCAGAGGCAATGGTTGTTAATGATTCCAACCACTGTTTGCATTTATCCTTCAAAGTATTCTTTGTATCGCTAAGCAAATGTGTGTGTATACAACATATTCTCAGTTCCTCAACTGTACACAAATAATTATGCTATACATTCTGTTTTGTATCTTACTTTTTTTCATTTGATATTTGTTGGGATTTATTCATATCCATACAGAAAGTACTTCCCTTCCTTGTTTCATACTGTGTAGTATTCCACTTCACAGAAATACTCTAGTGAGAGCCTTTCTGCTGCTCTGAGTTTCCTCCTGTTATGCCGGAACAGAGTATATTCTCCCCAAACGTGCTGCTGAACCTGTCGAATGGAGTTTTAGAAATACCTTTGTACCTGTGTAATTTGATAGATGTTGATGAATTGTCTCCTAAGGCTTGTGCCAGTTTATGCTCCTCTTTCCTGACTGAGGCCATCATGATGGGCTTTATGTTTAGATGTTTGATTATTGGTAGATAAAAACTTTTGCTTTTAAATTCCCCTCATTTGATTGAGTTAGAACATTTGTTCAGATTGTATGAATCATGTGTATTTTATTTTCTGCTAATTGCCTGTTCAGGTTATTTCTCTTTTTTTGGTTTGTTGTTTTTATATCTCTGGCTCTGTGATCTAACTTGCAAGTTGTTTTTCCAATCTTGTTTTGCTTTTGAAATAGGCTCTTACTATGTAGCCAGGACTGACCTTGAACCTGTGATCCTCTTGTCTCCGCTTCCTCAGTGCTGGGACCACAGGATTACAGACCTGGGCCACCATGTCGGGTCAATCCAGTCCACTCTGGTTTTGTTCATTTGTTTTACCTTTTGGTTCCTCTTAATGTTGTTTTCTTGTCATGTTTACATTTTTTTAAGTTTTATATTTTATTAGTTTTCAAATTTGTACAATTTATTAGGTTTCTGGATTTTATGTCTAGGAAGGCCCCTCTCAAAGAGGAAGAATTCTGTGTTGATTTTGTTTTAATTTTCACATTTAAACTTTGATCATTGTGGGATTATAAAGTGTGAGGTAAAGTCCTCACCTTATCTTTTCCAAAAGGTTGATGGAGAAACGTAAATGTCTCCCCTCATTGATGCAGTTGCAGCTTTATACAAGTGAATCTGATCTGGGATATGATATTTCCCACATAGGTGCCTATCTTTGTTGTAATGCCAAGTTGTCATACGTTTTTTGAATTTCTAAAATGTGTTTGTACTTTCTGTGTCCGAATGAGTATTCTTTGTTTACTTTTGCATGTTTATTTTAGATCCCATTTTAGAAAGACTTAAGCAAAATCTGTTACTGGTCTCATTAGGTCCCTTCAAACTGGAAAACCTGACGGTGAGTTTTACTCACCAAGAACATGCAGTGTCTTTTCTTGTGCATTTTAAATATTCATTTTTATCTTGAGGTTTTTGTTTTGTTTTGTTTTGTTTTTAGTTTATTCCTTGATATTTTGTCTTTATTTATTTATTTACTTTGTGGCTGTTGTACATAGATCTTACTTCCTTTTTGTTTGTTTTTTAAATTCTGCTTCCTTTTCGGTGTTTCTGCCTCTTTTTCCTTTCTTCTCAGTTGCAGCTGGCCAGCACCTCTGGAACACATTCGTTAGGGTAGCAGTGATCTTATATGCATCTCTTTTGGTTGTGTCCTTGGTGGGAATTCCTTCAGTGTTTCAACATTAATCATGATGCTTTGTAACATAAACACATTTTTCACATGTGAGGAAATTTTGTGTTAAATTTTAAAAATAGATGATGAGGGCTGGAGAGATGGCTAAGTGGTTAAGAGCACTGGCTGCTCTTGCAGGGGATGTGGGTTTAGTACCCCGTACCCACAGGGTGGCCAGCAACTGTTTGTAAGTCCAGTTCCAGGGGATCTGATGTCCTCTTCTGACCTCCACAGGTACTGCACACGCCTGATGCATTCAACATAAATGCAGGTAGAACATTTATATGCATAAAATAAAAATAAATTAAAAAAAAATTAAGCTGGTGGCACATAGTGATCTACATAGTGAGTTCTATGCTCCAGGAGACCCTATCTCAAAAAAAAAGAAAAGTAAGGGAAAAGGAATCGATGGTGAATTTGGTTGAATGCCTTTTCAGTATCTAGGGGTATATTTATGGTTTTTCATGCACATTCATGAAGGAGATGGATATTGCCTACCTTCTCAGGTGAGTACCTGCATCAGAGTACACATAAGTGATATTAGGTGCTAGTGCCTATGTTGTGTGTGGTATGGAAACCTCATCCCTTGCTGTCACTGCTGCTCTAGCTTCAGAACAGTGCCTGACACATGAAAGGTGTGCAGAAAGCTGATGTTGTATGTAAAACCAATAGTCAAACTTAGCTAAGTTGGACAGTTTTAGGTAGGTAATTCTTTGCATTTCAAAAAGATTGGTTTTCTTCCCGAGAGGATTTATCAATCTTTTATGTGGCACACACTTTTTATGAACTCTTAACCACAGATTTTAGGATAAAATAGCTCACTGAAGTAAAATTATTCAGACTGTACTTTACAACTTATTGTGGGTGTTCTTTGTGTTAAACATGATGGTACAAATAGATGTTCTGGTTTTTACTAAGTACAGAAGATGGGCAAAGTGTGCAACCTAGCAGAATGCCATAATGCAGGTACGAAGTGCTTCTCTAAGATGTAATTATCATTCCTATTGTCACCATCCAGACATGAAAGCAGGGAGCCATTTAAAGTTTCTCTGCAGTGTTGATGTCTGTGAAGTCTGTAAGTCTCATAAGGGAGATCCTAAACTCAGTGGAGAAACAAACCCTTTTAATGCCATCTTATTTTAAAGCATTTTGAACAAGTGAGCCTTTGCTATTTTGTCACACTTCACAGGCCGCATTTTAAAATGTTAGTGCTTAAGAATTCCTAAAAAGAGTAATAATTCAAATAATTTCAGAAGACCCTTAACTAAGAAACTATAACATTTAGAAAAGTGAGTTTGGAATTAAGAAAAAAAAAAACATCAAGCCTATTTTGGCCATCTTTGCCTCTGATTTTGTATTTATTTGTTTATTTATTTATTTATTTATTTATTTATTTATTTATTTATTGTACTGTCAGTTCAGCGTAGGCCCTTACACATGCTAGGCAAATGCGCTACCATTGAGCTGTATGCCCAGCCCTCCTTTGACTTTTTATTTTGAGACATGATCTCATTAAATTGCCCAAGCTGGCCTTGAACTTTTAATCTTGCTGCCTCAGCCTTCTATGGGATTATAGACCTGTACCACAAGCCTTGGCTAAGAAAATTATTTGATTAAGAAAATTTAAATACACAGAACAATTATGAACATAGCAGTTACTTGTAATAACTTAATAATGTTCAAGTATAAATGATTTGAAACCAAATCTTATATCACTGATTCTTTTCCAGTAAACTTTGGTGGTAGCTTTATGTTTTAAATATTTCATCTATTTTTATTTTATATGTATGAGTGTATATTGTCTGCATGTATGTAAGTGCACTTGTGTTGTGAAGTGATCATGGAGTTCAGAAGAGGGCATCAGATCCCCTGGAACTGGAGTTGGGGCAGTTGTTAATGATCATGTGGGTGCTGGGAATCAAACCCGAGTCCTCTAGCAAGAACAGACAGTGTTTTTAACTGCTGAGCCATCTCTCTAGCTCCAACTATATGTTTTAATTTGTACCTTGAGCGTGTTACTCTCTTAATCATAATAGTTAAAACATTTTGAAAATTTGAAACTATGACAGTGTACTGCTGTTCCTTTTCTGATAGATGTGTGTGTGTGTGTACACACACACATATGTATCCTGAGCACCACTTTTTAAAAAGATATATGTTAACTTGCTGATTAAGTTCAGCAGCTTGCTGCTTTTGTACCTTATTTTTAAAGCTGTATTTATAGCATTAAAGGGCAAAGATGTTTCAGCTAGTTAGAAGGCATATTTCAGTGTCTTTTCTGAGGCTCTATTTTAGCAACAAAACATTGTCCCAAGTTTCTAATACATTGATGCTGATTCTTTTTAAAATTGTGTGTGTGTGTGTGTGTGTTCATGTTCTGAAAAATGTCTAAATTGAGCTTCATTGTGAGGAACAGTTTAGTTTGGCTTTATGCAGTGCTTAAAGATTATTTCTGTTACTACCTTTATGGAGAAGCTATAGAAAGTCTTGATTTACATTACAGTATTTTTATTATTTTCTTTTGCCTGCTAAGCTGCCAAATGGTGTCACTTACCATACTGGAACTTACCAAGATCGGCTAACGAAGCTACAGGACCATCTCCGCCAGCTTTCTATTCTCTTCAGGAAGCTAAGATTGGTCTATGACAAGTGTAACGAGAACTGTGGAGGAATGGATCCCATTCCAGTAGAGGTGAGCTTTCCTGAGAGGAATGTGCAAGGGGAGAGCTGGGGTCAGGGCCTTTGTAATTGTGTCATTTTCTCTTTCTCTTGTTTTAGCAGTGTTTCCTGTTTTTTTGTATTTATTTATCATGTATATATGTGTGCCTGAGTGTACATAAGTACAGGTACCCTTAGAGACCAGAACAGGACATTAGGTCTCTTGGAACTGGTGGTGCAAGCAATTGTAAGCTGCCTAATGTGGGTGCTGTGAATTGAACTTGGGTCCTCTGTAAGAGCAGCCAGTGCTTGTAACTATCGAACCATCTCTCCATTCCCCATTTTAATATTATTTGTTTTACTTCTGAGCAGAGATAAAAATATATATATATATAATATATATATATTATTTATGATTTTTTTATAAAGTTTGACTTCCAGACTTGTGATATTTTTATTTACTTTTATAATTTAAATTACTGAGTAATTTTTAAATTATTATTGGAAAGAATACTTTTTTTGTGTGGTAGTTTTTACCATTGCTGTCAGCGTCTCCTTTTCATTAAATCAGTGCATGAATTCTGATATAAAATAATTTTAAAACTGTTGGGCTGGCAAGATGGCAGACACAGTGGCTAAAGTCACTTGCCACCAAGTCTGAAGATTGGCATTCAGTCCACAGAACCCATGTGGTGGAAGGAGAGAACTGACTCCTGCAAGTTGTGCTCTGTCCTGCACACACCCACACACACATACAAAATAAAGAAATGTAATTTTTAAAAACTCTATTGTTTTGTCATTAAAATTTATGTTTCTGTGCTTTTCAGTGTTCATGAAAACTTTACAGTTGTTTTATGGTTTTCATGAAAATGCTTTACAGACAAAAGATGTTTTCATCATTATTAATATAGATTTTTATATGTAGCCATTGGAATTACTCTGTATTAAAATATGTTAATGGAATATATAATCAGTTAACCTAATTAATGGAATATATACTTCTCCAAGTGGCATTTTCCTATTGACAAGTTGTGTTACTACCACCAGTCGCAGAGACGCCCCTTTCAGCACAAGACGTAGCTCTCACCTCACATGGAATGAGAGAGTTTATTCTGGAGCCAAGTATGAGTGACTGTGGCCCAGGACCTGGATTCAGGTTACCCAAAATAACACCTTCCAATGTAGTAACAGTTTTATAAAGTTTTTATAATTATGGAACAAAGGAAAGTCATAAATTAAGGCACTTTTCAAACACATGGGTGGGAGTATGTAGGCCAAGTACAGCAGAGCAGGAGGTCTCTGCTCTAGGCCTCAGTCTCCCTGATGCATTCCTAGCCCTTGGGTTGGTGGAAGGTAGTGGTCAGTTACTATGTTCTAAAAAGACATGCCTAATAGTCACAAGGATGTTTGGTCCAACATACAGGTGAGCAGCAAATGGCTATTAAGGGGCTAAAGGTGGAAGATAATTTGGCTCAGAACCTGCAACGTTGCAGCTTTCCATAGCTTGAAAATCAGTCAGCCAGCCCTGTAGACTCTAACACAAGTATGCCTTTTCCCAACTTCAGTCCATACTAAGATGTTCTCCCGCTCTGTGTATGCAGCAATTTCATGTGATTAGTACTTCCATTTTGAATGATCAACATGTAGACATGTAAGAAATGAGCATGGGAAACTCATAATGAAGAAAGTTATGTACTGGTTTAATCAAAAGGAGACGTAAGAGGGATAGAAATGTATCAGTTATCCTTGTCCCAAGAGTACAAAAGTGTTTGACTAGGTGCATCCTTCTTTGACTGGTATTTACTCTGGCCTGTTTCTTCATAGTGCGGTAAGATAGTAGAGACTGGATGATTCCCAAAGTCAGTCACATATACAAGATGGTTCATCAAATAAACTTCATCACAAGCCACACATTCAGTTTTAACTCTGCTGCAAGTTTCACTGCTCTGTAAATTTTTTTATCCTTTAAGAAAACATTCTTATAACTAAAGACAGTTAAGACAAATAAAGCTTTATGTAGCTGCTGGAGTTCTGAATGTCAAATTAATGATGGGAAAGCCTATCTTACTCATTGTAATAAACTATAACTCTTTTGGGGGCAGGAACTACATAAATTATTTGAAAATAATTTATCAGTGTTTTACCCAGGATTTATCAATTAAATATTTTCTGGTTGGATGAACAAAGTCTTATTTAATATGTGACCTCTGGTGTGGTTTTTTTTTTTATCACCTTGATTTAAAAAAAAATTAATTTTCAGTTTTCATACAATATAATTTGATGGTACTTAGATCCCCTCCCCTATCCACACCTCCCCTTATTGCCCCTGCCCAGTTTAATCTACTCATATATATAAATTAGACTATATAGTCTAATTTGTGTTACCAAATGTCCTTTACTTTGGGTCCATCCACTGGAGCAGCCTGGTTAACCTACCAAGAGCCCCATGCTTAAAAGAGACAGTCTTTCCCCCTCCCAGCAGTTACTGTTTGCCAAAATTTCCTTACATTGTGTTGGAGTTTTTTTACCCACTTCCCTATGCCTCTGCTGAGATTTTGTGTGGTTTAAGGTTGCATGGAATTTGTGCATGCTGTCACCATTGTTGTGAGTTTAAATGAGTAACTGACCAGCTTGCTGAAAAACTTTTCTTGTGGTCATCCACCACCTCTGGCTCTTAACAATCTTTCTGCCCCCTCTTCCACATTAATCCCTGAGCCTTGGGAGGCAGAAGTTTGATATAGATGTCTTATTCAGAGATAAACACTCTGTAGTTTCTTGTTCTCTGCACGTTGGCCAATTGTGGGTTTCTATGTTAACATCTGCTACATAATGAAACTTGTCTGGTGAGAGTTGAAAGATTCATCAATCTATGGGTATAAAAATAAGTCATTAGGAATAAGTTTAATATAACGGTTTATTAGAAACTAATGTTAGGCTCTCCCCAATATCCTCTGACCTCTCTGGTCTAAGGTTCCAAAGCCTGATATCAAAACCTGATGAAGTATGGGTCATCCTGTGATGTTGACCTTAAACTCATTTAGAGAGTGGTTGGTTACTCCCATAACATGCATGCCACTATTGCACTGATGGGTATATCTTGCCAGGCCAGTTGTTGTAGTTCACAGTATTCACATCTGGGTAAGGCTGATGATTAATTTTTCCTTCCAGTAACAAGCATAGCAGCTTCCAGCACTATGAACTCTACCCAGTAAAGATGAGGCTCTGAAGTCAGTACCAGCCTGATTTCTCTTTGTTTTATAGCTCATGTATGTAGTATCTTAAGCAATAAGGTCTTATCATTAAGTTCTGGTGGATAACCAAGAACAGGGGCAATGGCCAGCATTATTTGAGGGTACATGGGACCCTGGTCAACAGCTTTTAGAGAGGGAGTCCATTCCTGGCATTGAGGTTTTTTTTTTCTTTACCCTATGAACAGGGCAATATCCCCTGTTACAGGATAACATCTTTTAATCTCTTTTTAACACACACACACACACACACACACACACACACACACATATACACACACACATTAAGCAGGGTCTACAGTGGTAGATTTCCTTATGACTTTTTCTAAAGGCCTTCAGTGTTGGTTATCCCTTCCCAATGCTCTCCCCCTGTGCCCTGCCCTGCTCTGCCAGCCCCACCCCATTTAACCCTTCTACTTTAATGTTCCCCTGCCCCCTTCATATCAGTGCATTCTACCAACCCTCCCCAGAAGCTCCCTATCCCATGGCTGAGTATTAGTTTTTTGACATCTCTGGATTTTTTAATTGAAACTTGCATAGCTAAGATTTCAAAGCTAGCATCCATCTATGAGAGAGAACACATGACGTTTGTCTTTCTAAGTCAATCAGTTTACTGAGGATGACTATTTCCAGTTCTGTCCATTTACCTGAGAATTTTGTAATTGTGAATTTTTTAAGAGCCGAATAATATTCCATTGAATTTATGTACCACATCTCCATTATCCATCAGTTGATGGACATCTAGGTTGTTTCCAATTTCTGACTATTATGAAAAGAGCAGCAATGAGCATTGATAAACAGGTATTTCTATGGTAGGATATAAGGTCTTTTGGTATGTGTTCCAGAGTGGTGTGGCTGGGTCATATGGTAGATCAATTTTCAGCTTTTTGAGGAATCTCTACACTGATTTCCATAGGGCTCTGACAGCCAGTGTTTTAAATGCTGTTTGCAAAGGAAGACTGACGGCTGAAACATAGAATGCATCAGAATCTGCTTCAAAGCTGTTGTTTCAGTCCGTCACTTGAATAGAAATTTATTCTTAAAATAAAACTATAAAAATGGACCCTATGTTGATGCATCTTCTGCACTAGTCTAGAATATTTGGATCATTTTTTGACTTCTCACTTCTGTTAATCACTCACAGCAACTTATTCCATATGTGGAAGAGGATGGCTCCAAGAATGATGATCGGGCTGGTCCACCTCGTTTTGCTAGCGAAGAGAGACGAGAAATTGCGGAAGTAAATAAAGTGAGTTATTATTCTATACATTTTATATTTCAAAGTTTTGATAAAATTACAAGGGATCCTACTGTAACTCTAAAACATAATTTGATTTGTAGAATCGCTTGAAGTTGTTTTTGTGGCAAATTGAACCTATTTAGAACACAGCCAGGAACAGAAAGGTAGGCAGGACTGCCTTCTGACTAGTCAGAGGAGAGATCTGAAGTCCATTAAGTGAAGCTCTCAAAAGACATCTACAGGCACTCCACCACAGTCCGTTTATTTCTCCCACAACTAAAGTCTGCGTTTCTAGCTTGCAGCATACTTGGAGCAGCAAATGCTAAAAATTTACCAATAGGAAATGTGACTATTTCAACCTGGGAATGAGAAATTACATGAGTTAAGAAAGCAGCATCCACTGGTTGTTCTTGCAGAAGACCCAGGTTCGAGTCCCAGCCCCCACATGGCAGCTAACAACTGTCTGTAACTCCAGTCCCAGGGGATCCAACAGCCTCTTCTGACCTCTGCAGGCATTGCATGACACAGGTGCACTTACCTACATGCAGGCAATACACACATACACATAAAAATAATAAATAAAAATTAAAAAACAAAAAAGCAGTATCCTACCTCCGCCTCCCCAAAAGTTCCAGACTGAAGTACATTTACTGCTGAGTACTTATAATCTTCATGTTCTTGTGACACATAGAACAATGGCGGGGGGTGTTGGGAGTTCATTCTGTGGAAATGTGGCCTGTGATGACTGAAAAATAACAATGAGTCAGGCTACCAGCCTCACTCTTAAACAGATCACGACCTCTTCTGACACTCTTTGTTCTGCTTAATAGAATTCATCACATATTAACAGTCTACCTTAGCTAAGGAGGATTTCTACATGAATTCAATTTGTGCACATAATACAGAATGTCAGTGGTTACATTGGAAAGCATTCTCAAATGACTAAATTCATTTGATATATTTCAATACTGTTTGCTGATTCAAAGTACTTAAGCCAGGTGTAGTAGTCCAGGCTTTCAAAGACAGCTTGGTCTATACAGAATTCCAGGCCAGCCAGGGCTACATAGTAAGACTGTGTCTCAAAAAAAAGAAAGGAAAAGAAAAAGATTTACTTAAAACAACTAAGATCAAAATTTCTCAGTTTATTTTGCTTAAATAGCCACCATTTTTACACAAGTGGAATTTTAAAATATTCCTGTTTTAAAAGGCACAAAATAGCTGGGTATGGTGGTACATGCCTTTAATCCCAGCACTTGGGAGGCAGAGGCAGGTGGATCTCTGTGAGTTCAAGGCCAGCCTGGTCTACATAGTGAGTTCTAGGACAGCTGGGGCTACAGGGAGACCTGTCTCAAAGACAAAAAAAGGCACAAAATAAAATCTTTCAGTATGTTTAATATTATTTTAGACGTTATAACCAGTTCAAAAGGACAACAAATAAATGTTTGAAATTGAGCTTGTTAGTATGTTGATTAAAAACTCATTTGATAAACAAGTTAAAAGTTGTAAAAAAGGGGGCTGGAAGCCAGGTGTGGTGGTGCACACCTTTAATCCCAGCACTCAGGAAGCAGAGGCAGGCGGATCTCTATGAGTTCAAAGCCAGCCTGGTCTACATAGTGAGTTCCAGGACAGCTGGAGCTACAGAGAGATCCTGTCTCAAAAAGACCAAAAAAAGGCGGCGGGGGTGGGGAGCGGCTGGAGAAATACCTCATGGTTAATAGCACTGTCTGCTCTTGCAGAGGACCCGGGTTCTATTCCCAGCATCCACATGACAGTTAACCACTCCAGTTCCAAGGGATCTGATGCTTTCTTCTGGCCTCTATGGGCGTTGCATGACACAGGTGCACTTACATGCAGGCAAAACACTCTTACACATAAGATGAAAATAATTAAAAATACTTTAAAAAAAAAAGTTTTAAAAAAGGCATGATTACCAGATTGAAGCCATGCTGTGTAACTCAGTATGCCAATTAGAGGACACAGTTCTATTCACAGTCAAAAAAACATATTAAGTGGCTAGAAATTGTGTTAGTGATGTTTGTGACTAACCCTATTGTGATACATAAAAGAAGTTGGATATTAAAAAGAACATATAAACGTCTTGGGTGGGCAACAAATATTATAAAGGTACTCAGTCTTAATTACTTCCTACTTTTAAACAGAATCCAAATCCAAATAAGACTTTTCTTGAAAGTATTTAAAAATAGGGGGCTTTTAGTACAATACCTGTTTAAAAAAAAAGAAAAGAAACAAAATGAGATTTTCTTCAAAAAATATACAAAGTGTTTTTCAAAATTATGATAAATGAGATTAATAAAACAATTGTTCACTTTAAAAATTAAAATCTAATATGAAATGTATTATAAAGGCAATTAAGTAAGCATATAATATTGGCCCAGGACTAGACAGATTGGTAAAGTAGCCAGAAAAACAGCTTTCATGTTGAATATGAGAATTTAATATGACAGAAAATAAATTATATGGAAAATTCATCTTTAAAAATAGAAAATTTGGAGAAAGGCAGGCAGATCTGTGTTAGTTCGAGGACAGCGTGGTCTACATAGTGAGTTCCAGGCCAGCTGGAGCTACTGGGAGACCTTGTCTAAAAAAAGTGCTGATTGAGCGGTTTGGGGGCTTGATAGATGGCTTGGTGGTTAAGAGCACTGGCTGCTCTTACAGAGGACCTGAGTTCAATTCCCTTCACTCACATGGCAGCTAACAACTCTCCATAACTCCAGTTCCAGGGGATCCAAAGCCCTCTTCTAAAACATGCAGGAAAATAAACTCATACACATAAAATATAAATAAAATATTTCTTAAAAATTGGGCGGGGGATAAACTAGTTTTTACACTGTATCAAAATGAATTTCAGAGTTAAGTATCTGAAAAACAAATATTGTAAAAAATAATAAAGAAAATGTCCTTTAAAACTTAGGAGAAAAAAAAAAGGTGGATTTAAATATGGCAACTTTTTAAAAAAGGTGAACTAGAGATGTGGGTCAGCCTCATCTTCAGTCTATCCTCCTGCATCCCTGAGCTCTCATCTCCTCTTCTCTGCTAAGTCACAGACCATGCCTTTCTTCTTTCCTTCATAAAATTTACTCCTTAAGCGTGGTGGTGCAGGCCTGTAATCTGAGCTGTCAGGAGGCTGAGGCAGAAGACTACTCTGAATTCAAAACCAGCTTGGGCTACATAGTGCAAGCCAGGCCGTCTAGAGATACATAGGAAGATCCTGTCTTAAGAAAAATGCTGTTGTCTTCTTTCTGATCCCTTTTCTCCATGTGGATTTATAACAGCTTTACTCCTGCCATGAAAAAAGTAAAGCATATGTACTTTGACCATAATAATTTTCTGGAACAAGTTTCTATCAGTCCATCAAGTAGACAGAGATACAATATTCCTGAAGGTTTGTCTATTTTGTAGTGAAAATCAGTGTTGCAATTTTTTTCTTATTTATACTGCATGCGTTAAGTCAGATTCTAGGTGCTTTTAACTTTGGAGAAAATATGTAGTTATATTGAATTGCAGGTTATAAAGAGGAAACATTTAGTTTATCTGGGAATTCATTTTTGCAAAGGAATGTGGGTGGGCTAGAGAGATAGCTTAGCAGTTAAGAGCACTTACTGCTCTTGCAGAAGACTGGAGTTCAGTTCACAGGCTCACAACTGCCTGTAATTCCAGCTCTAAGGGATCTGATGCCTCTGGCCTCCTCAGGCACCTGCACTCACATGCACATACCAAAGCATAGACATACATACATGCAAATAATTTTTTAAAAATAATAAAAATATTTTTTTCAAAGGAATGTAAGAGAGAAAGTATCTTCCCTTAAGGATTTATAAATATGTCTTCCTGGGGGGGAGGGCTGTAGGTATGTGTAGGTATGTATGTGTATAATTATGTTCACCCATGGGTGTGCATCTAGGGGCCAGAGATCAACATTGGGTGTCTTTCTCTACATATCCCACCTTATTTTTTGAGTCGGGGTCTCTCACTGAACCTGAGCTTACCATTTTGGCTCTAATAGTTAGCCAGCAAGACCCTGGGATGCATCCCTGAGCACTGGGATTACTGATGTGAGCTGATGCACCTGACTTTTCTGTCAGTGCTAGGAATCTGCACTTGGGCCCTCATGCTTACATAGCAAGCACCTTACCCACTGTGTGATCTACCCAGCCTCTTGTTCTGTGTTTTGAGCACTGGAGAATAGTGGTAAGCAGAGGTAAAAGATGGAAAGAGGCTGAGATTTGGTTAACTTAAATTTCAAAACAAAAGAAGCATAAAATTAACTGCTAAAAAGCAAGCCAATTGTACTTTTTAATGCAATGTAGTTTTAAATTCTTTTCCTTACAAACAAATATAGATTGAAAGCAACAAATTCTAACAGCTCAGTCTTATGTGTGGTTAACTTGTCTTCAAACTCTGATCTTCCAGAAGTATAGAATTGAAAAATGCTTGAAAAAAATTTTTTTTTCACATTTTATTTTGTGTGTGTGTACATGCACACACCTGTGAAGGTCAGAGGACAACCTGAGGGAGTAGGTTCTCTCCTTCTACCCTGTGGGTCCCATGGATCAAACTCAAGTCATCACATTTGGCAACAAGTGCCTTTACCCACTGAGCCATCTCACCAGTGATGAAAATACTTATATGCGGAGGGCTCATGTTCTATTAATACATACATAGGTGTGTGTATTTATTTTTGTATATGATGCCTTAAATAGCTATAGCTGCCTATAGATGATAAAATACATAAGTCCCATTGATTATATGGTTGCTATACTACACTAAAAGACTCATTGATTTGATTTGTCAAGGATTTAGAAATATATATTCATAAACTTAAATTTTTGTCTTTTATGTTGATAGCACACATTCTTATTAATGCACATATAGCTTTTCTTTTTTTTTTCATTAATTCACATAATTAGTAGGTAGTAGGATTTTAAGATTCATGGACTCTTTCTAAATTTATCAGTTTTCTGTTACTGTAACAAATACCTGAGACAGATTAGCTTAAATAGAGGAAAGGCTTATTTTGCATCACAGTTTTGAAGGTTTTGGCCCATGGCTGATAGACCCTGTTGCTCTGGGCACGTTGTTACCTGGCACATCAGGGCAGGAACATGTGTTGAAAGAAGGCCATTCACTTCCCTGTGCAGGTACAAAAGAGGGAGAGTCTTGCACTTGTTTTTGAGATGTGTCACTAGTGACCTAAACTCAGGCTCACGTCTAAAAGTTTCTGTCATCTTAGAAGACATTTTGAGAGACACCAGCCTGAACTGTAGCAGCTAGTAACACTAAAACGTGCAGAACATTTCTTAACTATTATAATAGTATGGAAGATGAGGATACTTTTAAATAATAGCCATGTCTGTTTTTAATACTAGAAGGCAGTGGTAACCAATAATGACAAAAAGGAAAGAACAAGTTTTGATTGATTACCAAGGATTTTTGCTTGTTTTTCTTTTCTCTGTGGGATTTTGGAAGATTTCTTTTGGAACTTTTGGAACTTTTCCTTTGAATATTCAGATATCTGAGTGCTGCTGTATACCAAGCATTATCCTGACTACCCAGAATTTCTGCCATGGACCAGCCCAGTATCTGGTCTGCCCTCCTGCATATTGCAGATAGGTGGACGGGAACATAAGACTAATGAAGCAGCAGCATCCCTTCACGTACCCCTGGCATGCTTGGGGGAATGTTTACAGAAACAGGAATTCTGCACCATATTTTTAATACATTGGCATTTAATCATGTTAAATAAAGTGCTTTATAGATCTATATAATCAATAACATAATTCTATTAAAAATATCCAGAACTTCATTATACCACATAGTTTTTATTCTAAATAAACAAAATAATAGGCTTAGATGCATTTTATTCTAGTTGTTCATTTTCAGATACTTGTATGCTTGAGCAACATATTGACCTGGTGTGTCTGGTTTCTACATGACATCTGTTACCGGTCCCACCATAGTGCCTGCAAACTTTGAGGCACACAGTTTGTAGTCAGTATTTTATAGAAATCACCAGAGGACAAAATGTCGTAGTTGTAATAGTTAGATTTTTACTTTCTTTCAATACTTTCCTGTTTACTTTGTGTTTTTGAGATCTTTAAGCCCTACTATCCAAGCAAAGCATGAGTTCTTATTTCAGCCTGTCTACTTTAGGAACATCAAAATTGAGTTTTATTTTGCTTTAAAAGGTATTCTGTTGGTGGGAAATGAAATTGAAAGAGGTAGCGGGTAGTATTAAAAGGTTGACATGTAATTGAGTCCCAGCATCTGGAAATTAAAGCATTTTTTTATCAAGTGTCACAGCCTTTGTATGAATATTAAATTACTTGGTATGACTTAGTGTAAATACACTGTGTAAGCATCCACCCAGCTTGCACATTCACCTGTTAATACAACAAATTATGCACAGCTGATGGATTTTGAAAATAGCAGCTGTCAACCTCTGTTAAAATCAATCAGTGGCAAGATTGTATATATTAAATCCTATATCGTGTCATGAAAATGTATTTACAATTTAGCCACTAATAAGAGTAACTGTCAGCCTCACTGTTGATAGTCTCATGACGTGTTTTGACTCAAGATATTTTACTTGTGTGTTAATTTTTTAATTTAAAACTTTATGACAGTTCTGAGAAAAACTACCTAAATACCTTGTGCCACACACTAAGAAAAACCAACATCGCCTAGATTTTGATGTTGGCTTGAAAATACCCCCCATATTCTCTGATATACTTTGCTGTTTGGGAGTTAATGACTCTTATAGAAAAACAAGTTTGTATCAGATTTTTATTCAGAAACTAGTATTCTTGAAAGTTGTCTTATCAGTAGGCTTTGCATTTTTTCCAGTGATGCTGCCGTTGCCGGTGCCCTCTGCAGACCTTTTCTGGATGTTGATTATAAAGTCTGCTTTTAACCACACACCATCATGATTGTGTTCCTTCTAGTTGTCCCCGGGTCGTTACTGGGGATGTGGTAGCCCAGCTTGTTCGCAGGCTTGGCCCCACAGCAGTTCTCAGTGGTGTCTGAAATGTCAGTCCCTCTTGCTCCTTTTTCATAGGCAGAGGTTTGTCACCACATACCTAGGGAGCTGTGCATTCCACCTTAATTGTAGTTTCTGCCCTTCAGGAATTTTAATGGGTCTCCATCACCCACCATGGCCTTTCATTCTTTGCTCACCAACTTTTTGGGACCCCAAACAGATGTTTGCTGACCTTTTTTTGTGTCAGGTGGTATCTGTCCTTTGGAATTCCTTAACACCTAAAGATTTTCCTCTGCCATCCGCCTTACCAGGTGTGGTCTGGTCATGAGGCTCTGCCTACCTGATGTTGAGGTTGTGAAACTTCTCGAAGTGATTGTTTTCAAGATATGTTACAACTTACTTGTTCAAATTAGATTTGGGGCGGTGGGTAATTGAGAAGGGGTCTCACTGTGTAGCCGGGCTAGCCCTGAACTCACTGTGTAGCCATGGCTGGCCCTGAACTCACTATGTAGCACAGGCTGGCCTTGTGGCAGTCCTGCTTCAGTATATGACGTGTTGGGATTACAGGTGAGAGCCACCACATCCAACTTTCAGAATCAGTTTGGTTTTTTTTTAGCTTGTGAACTTGTGAACTTATATTCTAGTTCTTCCTTTTGTTCCCTGTCTATAGCTTGTTTTTACATCCCTCCTGAAAAGTTGGAATTGAAAAAAAAAAGGTAGCCAAAGTATTTCGCAGCTAGAAGTGATGACGCAGTATGTGCATCCATAAAGAGCCTCCATTGGAACCATTGTGAAGCCATGCGTTCGTTCACTAAACCAGACCCAGTGGTTTGCAGAAGCAAGTCCACAGTTGATTGTCACTGTGCTTGGGCGCACAGAAAGCCCAACTGGCAGGGACCTTAAACTGTAGCCCATCCATGCATGAGAAAACCAAGGAGAAAGAATTTGTCCAAGATCAAATAACAAGCGACAGGTGGAAGTTAGAACTGAGATCGAGATTGCCAGCCTCCCAGCACAGCACCTTCATCCACCTTTGTGCTTCTCAGTGGCCCCCACCCCTGGTATCCCATCGAGACAAAATTGGCATCTTGGTCTCTACAGTGGAAAGCTCTTTAGGCTCAGTACTTCCTCACCTGTCTCAGCAATTTGATGGATTTCATTAGGTAATGAACACAGTGCTTTAGTAACTGACTACCACACAGTCACAGTGACAGAACTAGGAGAAGGGGCATCTGAAAAACTGATCAAGGAGACGAAATATATTAACCCTCTTTCCCAGAGACTATGTTAAAGTGAGCCTGCGATTCAAGCCCTGTGTACTGTACAGTCAAGCATTTTATGTACATTGTGCTTTCCTGTGTTCAATATGAATTAAATTTAATTAGTGTTATTAATGATCGTTAAAGTCTGTAATTGTTTTTGTGTTTCCCAGGGAAAATGTTTGGTGCCTTTTAGTTACCTACTTGTGATTTCTAACTTCAAAAACAATTTCCTTAGTCTCAGCTTGCTTTTTTTTTTGGTTTTTGAACTTAATGTTTCCAAAATGTTATTGAATAATTCTGATTATTATAAATAGTTAGGATTCTGATCAGAGTCTCTGTTTTTATCATGTATATCTAAACAGATATTTGCCACGTAAAACTTGAAGAAAAGATGCTTAAAACATTTGTAAACCATAGTCTGGTAGAACCCAGGGACAGAAGTTCAGGGACACATACACTGTATGCAGCAGATCTTACAATGGGAAATCTTGCCGCTTTGGTTGCTGGGCCATTTTTTCTGTTTATAGAATTAGAAGAGGACTGTGCTTTATTCTATGGGCAGTTACTTCTGCCACATTTCTGAAAGGCACGAGCTGTAATATTTTTATTATACATAAATATATGTATAATTTTATTATACACAAATAATATTTTTATTATACATAATATTTAAAAATAAATATTTTTATTTTTATACTGACAGCCTACACTCTGCGCCTGCCATTACCATGTGTTGAACACTTACTTATATACCAGGCAGCTGTAGGAGTTTATGTGGATCAAATCATTTGTTCCTCCTATGAACTCCTAGGTTGTTTTGGTGATTACCTGCATCTTTCTGATGTCAGGTTAAATAATTTGGCCAAATGTCATCCATTTATATTTGGGGAGGAGCTGAGCATCCGTTCATCCATAGAGTCTGGTTGGGCTGTGTGCCCTTGACCATTATGTTCCACTACCCTTACAGCATCTTAAATAGTTAGATTGTATAACAGTTGAACAGGCTACTTACTTTCTTTAACGATTGGAGTGGAGAATAGATTTGGGAGTTGGGGGTCAGAGGCCCCTGTGGGCTTGAATTAGAATTTAGGAAGTCTGTTAGGGAGTATGAGACCAGAAAAGAAAAGCGACCTTTTTGCTTTAGAGGAATATCTACTCTAGCTTCCATCTGGATTATTAGAGTCCTGACTTATACTTTAATCTTCTCACTTCATGGTCTATATAGTTCATGTAGCATATTTGATAAATCCTTTTATTTCCACAGAAACTCAAACAGAAGAATCAACAGCTGAAGCAAATTATGGATCAATTACGGAATCTCATTTGGGATATAAATGCCATGCTGGCAATGAGGAACTGAACTGATGTTTAAATTTCCTGCTCTGTTGGCTTTTTTCCCTTTGAAAAAAGATGATCTGTTTTTGTTTTAATGGCTAGCGTTAAAGTTCCTATTTTTACATTAAAGTATTCAATAGCTTTTTTTTTTAATGCTGTCGGTTCTATGAAAGATTATTGTAATAAACTTTGATAGAGTTTGTGTTTTGGTTAATCTTCATGAATTGAATAATTGCCTTTTAAAAGCAAAATAAAGTTTTGTAAATAAATTTTTAAACTTGATCAATGGTCTTGTTTTAGTTACCCTTTTAGAAGAAATTTTAAATTTAAATCTAGCAAATTAAAAGATATCACCCAGAGTCTGTCTCTGGTAGAAATTAATTAAAATATGTTACCATTTCAGCTCATTTCTTAACTTTAGTGTTATTCTCAAACCAGTTAAAATATGAAAAAATTTTCTTGCTATCAAGTTACTTTTATGTGTTCTTCAAGTGTTCTGAATTGAAATGTCTCTAAGAAGAGAGAAGTGATTTGAAGAAGCACAAGTCAAGTCAAGCTGTGCACGTCTCTGCTCCCTCCTATAAACCGGTGGCTGTCACCTTGCTTAGCTCGTACATCCCAGTCCTGTGTAGGTGGAAACAGGGTTTTAAAAGTTCTATTCTCTTGAAGAAATAGTTGGCTAATTTCATTTTCCCAAAGAACTAGCGTATCTGCTGAGTGAGCAGGGAGCACTCAGGAGACCAGCGACCTCCAGTACTGACTCCACATCCTCTGCAGTGGGTTCCTGATGTCACCATCTTGGGTGGGTCTCACCTGATAACTCCACTGTAGGCCTCTCCTTGCTTCTGCATCACAACCATTCCTGCAGAGCTGGGTACTTAGACAGCAGGCACATGAGAGAGCTTTACCTCGTACCTGTCTCTCCATGGACTGGCAACATCATGAGGCAGGAGCCTTGTCTGTTGTGTGTACCTAGCAGCCAGCAACAAAGTGCTCAGCAAGTGCATAGGACTGAGCAACACACAGGTGAAGGAATGACTTGATTGACCAAAGAGAGGAAGAACTGAAGCCAGAGAGGAAATCAGCCTCAGGCTTCTTATCCTTGGGAGACACATACTCAGTAAGAGGAATATTTTGATGGGAAATTTGGGATTAACCTTCATAATTATAAGTCCAAGTTCTTAACTAGTTTAGGAAAAGTAACATAAAGAACTTAACCAAAAAAAGAGAGAGAGTGAGAGTTCTAATTTAGACTGTTCTTTAGGACAAGCTCTGAAGAGTTCTAGAACGAAAGTGCTTTTTCAGTGTACAGTAAATCCTTTATTGGTCTACCTATGCTGGTCTTTTCCAGCCTGATTCATAAGCCCCCACCTGGCCTGAGTTGACTCTTTGGAAATGCTGCCATTTGTCTGTTCTTACTGTGTTTGAAGTTTCCCCAGAAGTTTGCATAAGAAGCATAGCCAGCTTCCTCTGGGAAAGGGAGCAGGGTGATTGGGGATCAGAATTCAGAAGGTGCTGGCTTTTCGTTGTGTACTTTTTTGAACCTTTTGAATGTTGTAGCGTGTGTGTTGGTAAGACTGTCTTCCCATTGGCAAGCTGTGGACAGATGTTGCCCCAACTTGGTCACAATCTCTTGTCTAGAATCATTACAAGCTTGTTGACTGTTTACCCTCCACAAGAAAGGAGAAGTAGGATGAGTTAACCATGCCTCCCAGCCAACCAGTGAGCCCTAGTTGCAGGAGGGGGGAGAGGGACTAAGGGTATATAAGTGGAAGAAGCCATAGGCAGTCCTTCACCATTTTATACAGCTGCAGGGATGTCAATATCCATGCCTAGATAGACTTTCCATGCAGCCTTGGAGGGGGGAGCACCCACAGTCCTGTAAGTAAACCCCCACCCACTGCTTTGTAAGTAAGCCCAATAAATTCTCTGGTTTTCCAGACTACAGTTTGGTGAAATTGTACCTTGTTTTTTTTGTGGGGACCAAGGGAGGACTCCCAGAAGGAATTTTAGCAACAGTGTGTAAACATTCCCTGATCAAAACTAGACATTTTATTCTGATTTATGCAAATGCACACCTGTAACAGGTGGCAGAGTACAAGAAGACAAGCCCAAACACTTAGAAGTCCTTAGACTCTTCAGTTTACATGGGTTGAAGCAGTTCTAAGCAAGCCCAGAGTTGGTGAGATGGGGAGTTGACTGCCCACTGAAGTTCTGTAGAGTTGCAGGGCAAAAGTGAATGCATATGAAGCTGTGACTCCAAAGAATGAGGCCCAATGATCTAGCCTAGTGTGGTGCTCCACAGGACCCAAGACTATTACAGTCTGTTAAGACAGGTCTTCACTGCACAACATAAGCTCCATGGTATTTACCATTGTGATGTTAGTGTACTATTACATCATTGCTGGCACTAAGGCAGACAAGCATAGAGAACAGTGTAGTAACCTGAGATTCCACTTGGCTTAGGCTACCCCTTCTAACTGCACTTTGTAGCCCGAGGCCCTTATCCACATATACTAGGTACATACTTCCCTTTCTTAACTGTTGCCCTAGCAACCTTTTAGCAACCAAGGACCCCCTATCTGCATTGAGCTACATACACACAACCTCTTCTGAATGATGGAATGCATTTCTCCTCCCCTTAAAGACCATCAAACCTAGATTCTATTCAGTCATACCAAGAAAGAAGGGGTGAGTCTGGCCTAGACTGGTTTTGCATGCATGTGCAGTAAGTCAAAATTATGTCCCCAAGTGAAACTTTTTACTCTTATGCCATTTGGGTGTGCCTGTGTAACCTGAGCCTATCATATTGGTTGCCCTTAGCAACCAAATTCCATCTCTTGAACCCCATAAAAGGGAGCCCCAAATAATCGGGCCCATGAGTGTCTTTACTCATGTGGCCCACTGCTGTCTTGCAGTATGTTCAGACGTGTTCCTTTGCTTTACTTTGAATAAAGTTTCCTTGATACTTCTCAGTCCGTGTGGGCTTTTATTTCATTCTTGAATAAGACACCAAGAACCAGGGTACACTTGGCCCACACTTGTGAATTTAGTATTTTTCTGTTGACAATTTCTATGACAGTAAAGCTATGACCTTAGGTTTTAAATATACTCAGTTACTTAGATTATTTAAAGTGCCACAAAACCTTCTTTTGGAAAGAAGATAGAAACTGCATGCTTGGTTCTTGAATATACAGAGACTATCTCCATGGTGGATCAAAACCCAGTGTGATTACACTGCTGCAGAGCTGTAGCCTCAAGTTCAAGGAGGCTCGGTGTGGTTGACCTGAGACTTGAGGCCAGTTTACCTAATCACAAGTTTCCTTGTCAGTTGTGAGTGTGGTGGGGATCTCAGTAACTCAAATTTCAACTTTTTCTAGAGAGAACACACCAACAGGCTGAAGAGCAAAGAAAGATGAAATCATTCTAAGGTGTGACCTAGCCAAAATAATCTGTTCTCGTGTAAAATAATGTATGAGATTAGTCGATATTATATTCTGGGTTAGTTTCAGTTGCAAATTTTAGAAATACAATTTAAAACAGATCAAGCCTTCGAAGGGGATTTACTAGTTCCCATAGTGTAAAAAGATGCTGGAGAAGAGCTCAGAATCAGAAAACTGGAGTAACTGAAGCTCCAGCAATCAGATGCCTCCAAGATTTCTGTGTCCACTCATTTCCTCTAAGCTCCATTCTGGCTCAGTGACTGTAGGCTTTCTCCACATGGCAGAGAAGATATCTCACCTTGACTTTTCTGTATCCTGACCACTGAGGCTGGCTGCTTCTCTAGCCCTAAATTCAGATCTTCTAAAGTAGATTCTTTTAAAGCTTGGGTAATAAATTCAACACATGGATCTCCTGTGTACATGGGTACTATACCTGGACTAACTCAAGTTGTAGATCATTCTGTGGCCAGGACGTGGGTGTGGATGTCACAGAAGAGTACACTGTCCAGGGAACAGCTATTAGAGAAGGGAAGAGAACCAGTCAGGAACGTTTTGAAGAAAAGTAAAGGCAACTACAGCCTATTGATGGTCATTCATTATGACACTGTACCAGATACAATCATGTGAGTTAGTTAACCTTCAAAAGCCCTCAAAACATTTACAGAAAACCAAATGTTTCATTCACTACCCTGGGGAAATGACTAGTATTTTTTTTTCTGGATTTGTAGACTGCTAGCATTTTTCTTTGCAGCTGTTTCTTTGCAGCTGTTTCGATTCATTGCATTGTAAACTTGTTAGGTCTTGGTTAGGCTGGGTTAAAGCACTGATAGGACAGAGCTAAGGAAAAATGAAAGTTGCAGCCTTCTGGGAAGGACATTATCTTTAAAATGACTTGGCAACCTACAGCCTTGATCATTCAGACATAGAGCCCTTGGCACTGTTACAAGCCAAAATGTGTTAATTTGACATTTTGATGTAGATCCAGCTTGAGTGATTCATTTTCTCTCCCTAAATTCCCACTGAAGCTTATGCTAAACAGAGGAGATTTTTAGCCCTAAACTGAAATGTGTGCTTATCCTAAAGCCTCAAACTGTAAGTTATCCTCTGCATCCTTAAATTTGTGTAACATAACTGTATGCCTTAAATTTTTTATCTAATCCTTTAAAATACTAGCATGTCAGGGGTTAGTTTTTAAAAAGACAAATTGGAGGAATTCTTAGTGTAGATTTTTTTTTAACACCAAAATGTAAAAACTCATCACTTTTAAACTGAAGATTTAGAGTTAGATTCATTTAACATTTGTTAGTTTATATTTTTACATAGAATTGACATTGCATAATGAAGAGATTCATGATTTCTTTCTTCAAGAAGTTCTTAATTATTGCCAAGATGTAATGCACATTAAAATAATTACTAGAAAATTATCAAAAAATAGGGTAAACCCATATTTTCTCTGTACTTTGAGATCTGTATTAATCTTCTAACAGTTGAAATACTAGGCAGTGAGTTGGAGTGCCCTTTGTTAGAACTACCTAAATCTGTTTTAATGTTTTCAAATGAGTTTCTACTCTATTCCTCCAAGTCTTGTGTACAAAGTTGTGTGGTTTCCCATGCCTCGCATGGGGATTTTGTTAGATAATCTATAGCTCTTGGGGGAAGCATTATCACCTGTGTGGCATAAGTCCGTTTAAATTATAGATACATGCATGTATATGCATGTATTCTTTAGAAAATATATAAAGCAATGTTTCCCCGTGGCCTTTTCACATCCTTACTGCTATATCTTCTTCCTCCCTATTACTCTCACTTCTCCTTCCACAGTTAAAGTCTCCTCCTCCT